TGGGTCTTTGTCTCATTCCGCAACATCTTAAAAAACAAAATAAAAATACCAGCCACATCAGCAGCACAACGCAAAAGCCTCGATGTACTTGAAGTGCTTAAACCACCTAATTTTGATAACTTCTCACAGCACAAGCCCAAACTGGTGGAGATTAAAGTGAGCTAGCGGGGTGGGGAGGCAGGATGGTGGGTACCAGCGTCGCTGGGGAGAGCAGATCGCGGAAGCAGGAGCACGGGGGGATGCTCAGCACCCCGGTTTGCCGTCGCCCGCCTCGGTCCTGCTGCTGCTCAGGCTCTTTGGGGCTGGTTTGGGCCGTTCCTCTGCCAGGCTGACTGCAGCAAGCAGCGGGTGAAGTAGAAAAAGACGTTTGCAACGTTAATGAAAGCTTTGACAAAAGGGAAGCGAGGGGAACTATTGTCTCCTCGGCCTTATTCTCATAATGTCTGCGTGTAATAAGTCTTTCGGTTATGCTTGTGGCTTCTGTGACAAAGCAGTGATTTAGGGGGCTGTCTTTACAGAGGCAGAGCTGCTCACGCGGGCCAAAGTGCTGGTGAGTAATATTTTACCACAAATTGTTGTAACTGGAGCTTGACAACTGCAGTAGGAAGGAGGGTGGGGGATCGCGTTTGATTTATTAGGCGACTCGCTGCAGTTTGCAAGAGCGAGCTTTCTGCTGGCGCAGCCGGGGCTGTGCAAACCCCGCAAGGCGAAGTCCGTGCGAGGGAAAGTGGGGAGGGGGGAAAACTCGGTGTTTTGCTGCCAGGACCCTCCGAGGTCGCCTGGATCGGCGGGAGGAAGGCGCGCGGCGCGGCTGCAAACCGGCTTCTCCAACCGACGGCGCCCTGGGATGCCCGGGAGCCCTTCCTGCGCGCCGCCGGTGCCGTGTCCTGGTGGGAGCAGGGGGCCTGGCTCTTCCTGTGGGCACCAAGTGTAAAATAACTCCTCTGGGCTGCAGTGCTTTCTGGCTCAGCCTTCGAACCAAGCCAGAAGTTAAAGGGATGTTCTAAACCCGACCTGTGGAGCATCTTAGAGATGAGCTTTAAAGAGGGAGGGAGGGAGGAAGGCTGCTCCTTCAGCTTTTGCATCGCTCTGGAAATTCAGGTCATGTTTACTACGGGCAGCTGGAAAATGATGATCTCAGATGCTAACAAGTAACATCTGAAAGGAAGCATTAAAACATTCAAGCTGTTTTCTAAGCACCTACTTTACTTTTTTCCAAAACCAGTGTAGCTATGTTTAAAGGTTCGTTTGTCCCTTTAAGTACCTGATGTCAGCTTATCTAAAGTGAAAAAGAACAAGAGGTTGCCCTTCCTTTTAATTTCAAATGGAAAAATGGTTTTGTCCTGATTTTTTTTTTTTTTTTTAAAAAAGACCCCAAAACAACAAACCAACCCACTGTACAGCTTCCTTTCAGCTTCAGAAAGGGTAGATACCTACAGTCTGAGGGCTTTTTGTCCTTCTGCAAGCTGACCTTGCTGTAATTTCCTTTATTTACCTTTGGCTGGCACTGGCCTCATTGACTGCAAGAGTTTATACAACTTTTGAGAGGAATTCCAAGCCTTGCAGAAGTGAGCTCTGCCCTGTATCATGCTCTTATTTACTGGCACAAAGTAGATATACAATGCTACCGAATAAAAGTACATATTCTTAACCTGTTTTGCTCTGGCCTTAATGCCTTCATACTAGCATAACAGAGAAGGTCATGGGCAATTAATTTAAACCAGGTGGGAAAAGTTATTCAAAATTGTTTCTGTGCAGGGAGACATCCCATAGTGTCAGTTTTATGTGCTTTTACTGACGTGAATGGTGTACAGCCTTTGTAACACCTTTTTTTTTTTTTTTAGGAGGTGGGTTGTTTTTGAGGAAGCTGTTGCAGATAATGTTTGTTCACTGCTGTAATTGAGCCAGAGTCAAATTTGGAGAGATTATCTTCCCGGGACTTTGGTATTTGCGTTGTTTACTGTGCTTGCATGGGTGATCACCTCTGTTCTAGGACTTTTGCAACCAGAACAAAAACCAAATTGTACTTAATACGTACCAGTGGTGTGATGATTCCTTCAACAAATAGTTCAGTTGCAAATCTAATACACTCATCGATATTTGGAATCGAGCAGCATGGCAGCATTACTCCTCGTAGGGTTTGGTGATGGTAGGAGTTAGGGGCTAAGCAGGGAAGGGCGTATCTCAGCTGGTGTAAAAAGAAATAGGGTTTGAGGGAGAGAAAATTGCCCTTTAGTGAACTATCCTGCTATTGAGTGGCTTGATTTCTGATACATGAGCTGCCCGGCCTGGCACGGAGAAAGTATTCTGCAATTCAGAGATTATAAAATAATTACATGATTGCCTGCTTCTTGAAGGCATGAGGATAACATTCTTAAGTGCCACCAATTCAGTTACCACTCAGAAGAAAAGGCTCCTTCTAATCATGAAAACAGCGTCAGATTGCCCAATTTGGAGGGTAAACACGTGACAATCACGCTGCTGAGAGCCCTTCAGGGACAGGAAGCGGTGGCTGGACCCTACCAGAACCCCGCGGGGTGACGGCTGACCTGGCCTCATCCTGGGGAGGGAGAAGAGGGAGCGGAGGAAAGTTTGGTTTGTTGGTTGTTTGTTTTTTTTTTTTTTTTAATAAAGAAAATGAAAAAGGAAGAAAAAAAGAAAAAGTTTATTGCAAAACTCAGTGTTTTAGAGTATTTCCAGAGTCCACTAGGTATGTTACCAACAAATCAGTACATCCTGCTTTGAAGGCGTTAAAGCCTGTTCTGGGTCTTCTGCGCCCGCACACACACAAACTCACTCGCTCCCCTGCTCGTGCCGCGACACAGACAGGAACAGAAACGTACTGTGAGGTCAGTGACAAACATATTATTTGATCTGTATTGGAAATTGTTGTAAAAAAAAAAAAAAAATTAAATTACAGTAGAACCTCGCAAATCTGCAGAACAGGGAGCTTCCACACACACGCAAAACCTGGAGGCCTTGTTCCACTTCCAAGCAGAGTTGTAATAGCAAAGTGCTGTAGTGAGGTCTCGTATCACAAAGACTTCAATAATCTTACAATTAGAGTCTACAGAACATTTACCAAAATGCTTGAAGTATCATAAATTAACAATAAATAAAAAGTACATCTTAATGCAACATTGTTATTTGTTCATTTACTCACTGTTTCACAAAACTCTAGTTTCTCTGTAAGGGGTCTTCCAGTCCTGGGTGCAACGCAGCGAGGTTCTGCTGGCCGTGATAAAGTGCTGAGGCAGAGGAAGGACGCGAGACCGCAGGTCTCGGGCAGTGAGGATGAATTGCTCTAGCCACTTGGTTGCAAGAGTGCCTGTTTGTTTTTCTTGGTTTTGTTTTTTTGGACATCTAAGACAGAAAAAACAAATCAAGCACCTTTCCCAAAGAGGTTTTTCTTTTTTTTTTTTCTTCTTTTTTTTTTTTTCAGATTGTCCCACATTTCTATGGCTGGTAAAACACAGACAGGTCAGCGTAGCAGTTAATGCATGACGCCACTTCCACTTAAATACACAGAAATGTTGGTTTGGGTTTTTTTCCAAACCAAACCAGACTTGTTTTATTTGTCCCCCTGAGTTGCCTAGAGGCATTAAGATGCATATAGCTGGGATAAGCAAGCTTGTGTCACCGTGAGTAGGACTCTCTCCCATTAAGACTAAATGAACAGCTAGTACGTTGCCTTTGATCATTCCCTTCATGCCTTCAACGTGCACAGGCTCGTTCAATTCTCACTGAAGTCAGCAGCAAAAAAAAAAAAAAAAAAAAAAAAGAAAAAGAGAAAAAACCCAAAGCCTCTTGCTGACTTTGGGGAGCGAGGCGAGCCGGGGAAGGGGGTACAGCTCGACCCGGGCTGCGCGGGGCTGGGTCATGGGGGGGCTCCCACACTCGGTCAGCGATGCAGCAAAGGTTTCCTGGTGCACCTGTAAGCAAAGGTTTCGGGTACATTAAGACATACTGGGCCAAATCCTCCCTGCGGGGTGGGCTGGTTACGGCAGCGGAGCCAGGTCCATTGACACTTGCTGAGGCCTTATGGAAAGAGATGCTGGATCTGTAGTTTGTTTTTTTTTTTTCTCCTTATTTAAATAACAACTGGTTTACCTAAGACCTACCTATTAAAAACAGCTACACTCTATGCTGTAAGTTTCCCAACAATTTCACAAGCTAACAATACAAGATAGGTATGAAGAGATTGATTTAAAGACAGCTTTCCGTTAGGCAAAAGATGATTTTTCCTCTCCAGTTATTTAAGCTCAACTCCTTTAACAATCTTAGAATAAATTAATAAATACTACTTAAATTAGAAACAATACATCAAATCTGACTATCAATAGAAAACAGTTCTAAGGATACCAACCAGGAGAAGAAAAATGATCTTATGAAGTATGTGCAGTAATAACTGGCCATAAGGACATACAGAGCCTCTGTTTTCCCAGCATTTGTGACATTCAAGTTAAACCATTGCTAATGTTCTTCTAATTAAGTCAGCTACCTAGCCTAGCTGCCTCCTCAAATCTAAAACATGAGTCCATAGTCTTGCAGAAGAAGATTCAGTTGGCTACTGGTGGTGTACGAAATGCTCGTTTCCAGTCCATATCGTTGGTTTCTTGACTGCGTGGAATTTGTGGTACGGGATGGGTGAGGACAGTCAAGAGGCTGAGCTGCTTCTGCTGTTGCTGTTCTCAGTTTTTCTGGGATCAGTCGAACCTTTACCTATGCTTGTTATCAGGAAAGCAGCAGTGTGCGTCACATCTTCATGCTAGACAGATGTTATTCTTATGTGGCTATCCGTATTTTCTATGGAGCTTTCCATTGTTGGTTAAAAAAAAAAGTTCTTTCTAATAATTAAAAAAAAAAAAGGTGTTGGTAGCAACTGTTCACATTTAAAATTTTCACATTCCCTTTAGAATGTAGTTTTAAAATGTGGAGCAGAGTCGACATTTTCCGCAGTCTTACGCCGAGTACGTTAGATGGAGAAGGAACAGGTTTTTTTACGCTGTGCCATTACTGACTTTTCCCGAGTTTTCTGCTTTTGTAATATCCATCTCAATAAAGTCATCTGGCAAGTCCGGTAGGACCACCACTGCGCCCTCCTCCACGCACTGCTGCTGGCGGCGGCACAGCCCAGCCTTGCATGGTCTCACCAGGGACAGAAACACGGCACCCAGGACCATGCCAGCAGCACAGGAGTAAAAGGCTGAGCTGTAGTTGTGTGTCGTATCCACTAAGACACCTAGGGAGAACACATTTGCAGCAGTTAGCCACAACTCACTCGCCCTCTCCCTTGCCCATCCATCCCTCCTATAGGGTTTTCATTCCGGGTACCACTGCATCATTTTATTTGCCATGAAAACATACTCAATGAAAATCAGATGCTACCTTAAAAAAACAAAAGTAAACCCATTGTGTTCAGGGGTACATGGTGTCATCTTCAGGCAGGTCAGAAGCCTCTGAGCACTGCAGGGAGGCTCAGCCCGAGGTGCATCAGGCACCTATTTATTGTGACAGAGACTTCACCTTTCTGCAGCGTGCGGCAAAACACACGCACAGGGAAAGCGACTCGTTCCTGCCGTCCGCTAGAGCCTGAAGTGATGCCAGCTTTAGGTTTCTAGCAGGAGCAGGGAAGCACTGCAGTATTTTCCTTCCCTCTGAGGTTCCTCAGTGGAGGCTGCCTCGTCCGTGGGACTCTGCAGAGCTGCATTGCAGCAGTCTTCTGGCTCCCAAAGTCTCCTAATGCTAGTTTGCAGGGCTTTTAGGATGGTACTATGATTAGCGCTGCCAGAATGCTTTCTAGACAAGGGAACAGCACCAACAGCTGTCAAACACGCAAAAAATAAAGAAGAAAGTTTTAGTTACCTGCAAGGGGTGGTCCGGCCAACCCAGCAAAGCTTTGAATGAAGACGTAGACTCCAGCCGCAGAAGACATCTTTGCGATGCCAACCACGTCGTCTTCTGCCAGGAGGGGAATATGGGTGCCCGCTACCGTTCCGAGCATGAACCCAAAAAATATGCTACATGTCATCAAGCCCCAGAATTCAGAGGCAAAAGGGAAGGCAAACAACGCTACAGACAGCAGAACAACGCAGATGAGTTCAATGTAGATCTTGCGGATAGGCTCTTTGTTGAGAACCCAGCCAGCTGAAATTCTTCCAAAGACCTCTGCGATGGCCATGGCAGACAGTATGTATGCAGAGTGGTCTTTGCTGATGCCAAGGCTGAGACTCAGGGGAATGATGTAGAGGGAGGGAGCAAAGAAGCCCAGGGTAGCGAAGAGGCCAAAGAGTGCATAACAGATAAAGCTATAGTCTCTCATCACAGAAAAGTCCAGTAGTTTGTTTTTTGGTTCTGGAGGGGTGCTGTTATTGTCACTAAGTATCTGTACTTGTTCCTTTGGTTCTTCACTTTTCGGCTCTGCTTTGGTGTTTCCAGGCACATTGCTGGGTGAGGTAGTTATTTCTACTCCTGAGTCTATGGACTCTATTGAGGTGCGTGTTTGCTCGTTTTCAAGCATGTACTTGGTCTCCGTGATCTCTTCCGGAGGCTGCACTTTCACTTCTTCTTGCTCTTTGATGATAATGGGCCGCAACAGTGATCCGCAGATGACAACGCTTAGCTGTAGCACCCCGACAGAAAGGAGGCTGTATCTCCAGCCAATCTGCTCCTTCAAAGCAGTAATTGCTGAGGAGGAGGACAGAAGAAGAAAGTGTAACTAGAAAAGCCTGTATTTACACCAAGGAGCTATTTGAATTTACAGCTAGGGAAGTAACTGAAGCTTCATCCCTGGAGGGTCCCAAGCACTCAGCTCTTGCAGAGGCTGAGCAGGGGTCCCTCCTGGTCCATCCTGCCCATGGCCACCCAGGGGTCTGGCACCCACTTTCCTCCCATCAGCTGCAGCAGGCAAGAGTTATAGGTTGCATTTAACAGCTGGCTGACAGAAGCTATCCTCTAGGTAGCCACTTTTGAGGTCCCAGTGAGTTTGGGATGTGCGAGGACGAAGGTGGTGTTATTTTTAGTGAATGAGAGCAAACTCAACGTTTGAGTTTCCTCTTTCAGCTCACCCCACCCTGAAACCAGCTACTAGAGGAAGTCTCTTAGCTCTACTCAAAGCGTGTCACTGCTTAATTACAAGATTAGATCTAAGGAAGAAATTCTTCCCTCTGAGGATGGTGAGGCACTGGAACAGGTTGCCCAGAGAAGTTGTGTCTGCCCCATCCCTGGAAGTGTTCAAGGCCAGGTTGGATGAGGCTTTGAGCAACCTGGTTTAGTGGAAGGTGTCCCTGCCCATGGCAGGGGGGTTGGAATTAGATGATCTTTAAGGTCCCTTCCAACCCAAACCATTCCATGATTTGCAGTCAAAGCAGCTTTGCAATGGGTATTAGCTGAAAGCAAACGTGCACAGCAGAAAATCACCTGAACCGCAGAGGACAGGCAGTGACAGGGATGTGCTGCCTGGGGACAGGTCCCCTGAAGTCCAGGGCAGTTCAGCACGGTGCTAAGCACAAGCCCATTAACCTTTAGGAGCAGTTGTGTACTGCATGTGTTTTAAATAGCTGAAGTTTCTCGGTCTTATTTTTAGCCTGCTAGATCTATATAGGGAACCCAGCGGGCTGCGCATCAGTGAGGCACGTCCTGCTCTGGCAGGCGATGCTGGGGAGAGCTCAGGCATCCTTAGACCAGTCTCTAGGATTACTTGTAACCCTGCTTGCAGGGCACAAGTGCCACGGGCATGTGAACAACCACCTGTGGGCTTTAGCAACTCATGGAAAGGTCCGTGAGCCTGGTATTGATGGCCTTTGGCTCCCGTTTGCTTGGGAAAAGGATCAGAGCAGCGCTGTGCTTTAGGTGTGCACGTACGAACTCGCAGTATTCGGGCACTGTACCTGGTGCAAAGGAGAAAACAGCAAAACATTCCCCTGTAGATGCCACTGCTGTGACCAGCGAACGTCTTTTGTCAAAATACTGTGATAAAATGGTGACAGTCGGGAGGAAACTGAGGCAGTATCCAAGGCCTGTGAATAAATGCCAAAAATTGCCATAACAACAAGTAAGGGAGGGGGAAACACCGATGCAAGAACACGTTAAGTCAGCTTTCCCAGTGGTGAGATTACAGTATCATTTCGGCCAACTCAGCGAGTCACCCTGGAAGAAAATCATTGGGGAAACCAGAATGTTATTTTTTTTTTAATTGGAGGGGCCAAAAGAAAAAAAAAAAAAGAAAGAAGAAACAAAACAAGAGACCTAACCTCCCAAACCTGCTAGATAATGCCTTCTGTCCCCAAACAGCCAGCGAGGGCCACTTTGAGGACCTCATCTGCTTAAAGAGTTTGAGCCTGTAGCAATTGCTCTCCTAAGCAAGGCAAGCTCCCAGCCGAGGATGTGAGCAGGACACCCAGGCCAGACTGGAGAAGGGAAAAAGAATCAGAAAAAAAAACCAAAAAAACCCACAAAAGAGATAGAGGGAGAGGTCAGAGGATTTGACTCTATTAGCAGCTTTCATCTCCCCAGCGATCCCAGTCCATGCGAAGCGATCAGTACCAGCGCAGTGCTCTGCGGGACCAAGTCCCAGGGTGGTCCCTGGGTGAGGCAGGCAGAAAGCCAAGCCTTCAGCCCAGGTCATCATCTCTACTGGGAGCGGGAGGTCAGCTCAGAAGGGGCAGCAGCGTTTCTCAAGCAGTCCTGGTGTCACGAGGAGTAAAACCCCCGTGGGCACAGCCACGCTTGCGGGAAGGCGCAGGAGCAAGCGAAGCATTTGGCAGGTCTGGGAACAGGACGACTCACCTGAGATGACGCCGATGGTGATATACATGTCCACAACACTGCAGGCGAAGGAGGCGATGACCATGCCAGTGCTGATCAGCACCCCTCCAGCCATCACCACTAAGTGGTGACCGAAGCGATTGCTGAGGATCGTTGACAGAGGAGCTGGATGGGTGAGAGAGAAGTAGAGCCATGGTCAACACCCAAGTCAGCAACTTTGCCAGCTACCCCTATCTCCTTCTTGTACCCCTGCCCAGGTCCCCGTGACATGCCACCTCCCCTGCCAGTTGGCCTCACACAGCACAGCACTGCCCTTGGGCCATCCTTGGAGCACTGCAAACCTCGTGGCATTTAAGGTGTGCTAAAAAATCATCAGAAGAGACTAAGACAGGTGTGTGGCAGCCTGGGACAAACCTACAGCAATGTCCACGGACACCAGTGGTTTTCAGTGAGGCTCAAGTTATTTCTAACCCTTTTCACTACAGAATTAGGTTTCAAAACTCTTGTTTTTAGCCCTTGCTGATGAGAGCTGGGCTGAAACGGCCAGGCCAGGGTCTGTGGCATGGACCACGTCCCTGTACCACACAGCAGGACACGAGATGAGGCTCCGAGGGACTTCTGGGCTGAGACAGACGTTCCTTGTTATTTCAGGAGTGCAAAGCCTCTGGGCTTTACAGCTGTTACTGAGAATGGAGCCGTGAGAGACACAAAAGTCACAGGTACCAGGTCCTCATATGCTGAGTCAGCAGTACGACTGCCCCTTGCACTCGCGCTGAACGCCTGTTACTCTTACCTGTGAAGGCCTGTACAAACACACATATGGATATTATCCAGGATATCCTGCTGTTCGTTTCGTCAAAGCTTTCCCTCAGGTCATTAAAGAAGACGCCAAACGATTTTATAATGCCATATGTTAGAGCTTCCACAAAGAAGAAAGCAAAAGCAATTGTCCAACCCCATCCTCCATCAGGCACTTTAGTATAAACATTTGGAGCGGTGCACGGCATTTTTACAGCTTTGACAGTCATTTTTCTGATCTGCAAGAGAGGGAAGAAAGAGCCGGGCATCAGTTTAGGATGAATTTTGCTGAAAGAGGCACGGCCTGGCAGCTGTGACATCCCTCAGGCACCGCTAGCCAGTCCATGTGCTGCCGAGGGACTAAATGCGGAAGTTGGGCTGAAGTTTCTGCCTTTGTCACCCACGGGGCTCGTTTCTGCTGGTTCTCTTTGAGCCCAGGACCAGAAACTCTCTGCTCACCACCTGGGCGAGCTGTTCCCATCAGCAAAACCCAGCGCCCAGGAGCTGTCAGCTGTATTTCGGTGTGTGGGGGTGGATGGCTGCAGTTTGTGAAAAATCCACTGTGGGACCGAGCGCAGGCTCGTGGTGCTGCAGGAGCTCCCCAGGAGCACCCATCCTCCCCATCGCACCCTCCTGCCTGGCCTGGGGTGCCTGGTGACACCTTGGTACCACCCATTTGATGTAGGGTCGGTCAATGATCCAACCCACCATCGCGTCCTGCGGCGTCTGAAACCCACTGAGTGGCAATGGTGGCACTCGGGGTGATGGTGACTCCTTGGGAGGTTGCCCGTTCCCCAGAATGGCTGCTCCAGGGTTGCCAAGCCCCTGCTGCCTACAACGCCGTAACCTGGCAATGGATGTGGGGACACTGCCGTGGCCACCAGCTCCATGTGCTGCCCCCCAGGGCCTCTGTCACCCCAGGGTTAGGAGCAGGCTGAAGCCCCGAGGGGGCTGGAGGTGATCACTCCCTAAATCGCAGGGGGGTCTCCTCA